GAAGCAGGAGTCAAGCGAGTGGTACTAATAGAAAGACCACTCCTTTGATGTATAAGTGCTCACATTACCGGTTACCCCTCTTCAGGTAATGGGCAAGTATTTTGAGTTCGGAAAAGTGTGACAGAACTTTCCCGCCAACCTAATATTACCTACGAGCACAATATGCCATGTTGCGTGCTCCCTTATCACTTGTACTGGATGGTGTTTCTCCGCGCAGTCTCTTCCTTGTACCCTTGAGTAATTCACGATAGTGAAGGAAACTAATCAAAAGTGTTTCCGATGTTTTCTGCCTTCAATCTCCCCTTATAGGTTACAAAGCATCTTCGAACTCCTGTAACTCCTTAAACCTCACCAGAAAATAGTCTTCGAGTTTTGTTAGGAGAGGCAATTGGGGAGGCGTCAGAACTGTCACTGAGGGCTGCAGCGCCTTCGTTACTCCCTATGAAAGTGGAAGAATCTTATTCTTAGAGACTGAAGATCAGAGTATTTGTACAAGGAACGACGCTTTGGAATCACTCGAGCGTAGGATTCGGTCTTCAAAGGCAGCCATTGCGACGAAAATGAAGACGCTGTTACCACAGTAACACAATAAGGGTTTGCAGGTGGCACCAGGCTGGATTGGAAATAAAAAAAACAGAAAAAAGAAAAATAAAACAACAAACAACAAAAACGATAAAAACCAAGTCTAAGGGAGAAGACAAGTATTTTTTGAGACATGGTACCAACGGACTGGAAAACTTGTCCGAGCATTGGCAAACTCGTACGACATCAGAGCTGTGAGGAAGAGACTTATTTAGGGCTTCCTCGAGGGTTTATCGGCTGTTTTCTCCAGAGATGTGTCACTGTGCATCTTGTAGATCACATAACAGGCGCCACATCCCTCGTTGTCTACGTATACTGCGCTTTGGCTACGGATAAGGATCGGCACATTATTTTTCTTGCAGTTTTTGAACTAAGACATAATACCGATCATCTTAATTCTGGTAAATTAGCGGAACAGACCGGGGAACTAATCCAAACGGTATGGCATTGTGATTAGCGCTCTTCAGCTAGGGAATAAGAATGTCAAAGGTCACTGATAACAGAAAAGAATGCTCCAAACAAAGTTGCATACTTTGACTTTCCATGCTTTAGGCTAGGTGGGTATCATAGCAGGAGGCACAATTCGTGTTGTCCGGATGATCCTCATCGCGAGCGAAATCCTGCCCCAACTTCAAAAGATTTTAAGTTACTAACAACGCGGAAATGCGTTTGAAGCTTTCCCATGGAAACTTTGAATGGAGACCTAGGTACATCGATAGAGCCTCGAATGCTGATTACGAATATGCAGATTAAAAGTGCTACGGGGACCTCCCAGACGAGATCTGGGTGGTCAAAGTTTGAGTTCTGCTCGGCCTGCCTGTTATGGATGCGCCTTCGGGTCCAGCTGCACCATGGCCTCACAGGTACCATGTCTCGCTTTTCAAGTCAACAGCATGCGGTTCGCATCCGCGAGTTGGCGGCGGAAATTTTTGCTTCGCTCCGTATAAGAGCTTCAACTCTAATTTTCGAAATTCTTCCGAATTTACGGCCCAGCAGGGCAAGTAGATCAAGTACATCAAGTATACGACATACTCGATCTAGTATGGATTTGGTCATATCTGCCCTCTCTGAACCCATCCGACAATTCAAAGTTTTAGCGAGAAATTCGTTCATGGGAGATTTCGACCCCCTGAACACGAATATCACATCCTTCGACGAAAAAACGCTCGTCTGGCCAAATTGCGATTCTGGGCAAAACTTTGAATTGTCGGATGGGTAATATGTTCAGAGAGGGAGATCAATTCAGCGAAGTAAAAATTTTCGCGCCAACCGGATGCAAACCAGAACCCAAACTTTGACCACCCAGATCTCGTCTGGGAGGTCCCCGTAGCACTTTTAATCTGCATATTCGTAATCAGCATTCGAGGCTCTATCGATGTACCTAGGTCTCCATTCAAAGTTCCATGGGAAGTTCAAACCATTCCCTTGTAAGTAATAAGTGGTATATTAATTAGACACATTAGCACGACAAGTGTGAAACACCCAATCATATTACCAGAAACTCACCACATTAGACGTTGGCTTCTGTGGCGGTTGATGTGCTTGCACCGAATTCTGTATCTTAAGAAGTCAGCGTAAAAATCTGTGGAATACATAAGGTAATA